TGCCATCCAATAGCACTTTTGAATACCATCGGAAAGCTTCTCGAAAAGCTTATAGCCAACCGGATATCAAAAGCAGCGGAAGATCATCGCCTCCTCCCGAACGAACAGATGGGAGCTCAACTACTAAAATATACGGTTTCGGCAGTTGAGCTTCTGTTGGAAATTCTGACTCTCGAATTTAGGACTCAACCATTATCTGTTTCGTCTCAGGTTCCCGACAAGATCGAATCTCTCTACATCTGTCCCGAGCAGGTTCATCGCGCCTACTGTCGCATGTACGTTCGGATATTTACGTACTACAGTGTGCCTTGGCTCATCATGGTAGATGAGAGGTGGCTGGTCATCACTAGGTTTGACAGGCACATGAGACTAGCGGGAATTTCTCCCTTGAATGTATAAGTCCAATGTTCTCATAGTTGTAAAACATCAATTCTTCTTTACTTCATCATATATATCCATATAATATCGTACAGAGTATATTTTCCAACCAGTGTCAGGAAGTAAGGTTAGAGTAGCACCCCCGAATTCTTTACCGATACAGTTTGCGAATATTTACTCACATTAGAATGGTTACTAGGTTACAATGGTTTGGTTTTTTCATTAAAGTGCTAGGTAAAGTGACTACCGTTGCACTCCTACTGGAGCTTAAGCACGGGTGGGGCCGGGCTGGATCAGGTTAACTAACATTAAGTACATCTACCTCGTCCCATCTGAATGACCGGACCACCTCAGACTTGACCCATGTGTTGAATCATGTCAAGCCCAACTGTCCAGAGAACCCTCTTTTGACGCGCCGAAGCGCAAATTCCTCCTCAGCCTCGGTCACCAAGCACCCGAGCCCTTGACATCTTCGCGATCTGTAACTTTTCCCTTCCATTCAGTCCCAGCTTTGGCTCATCTCCTCATCTCATCCAGGCGTCGTTTTCTTCACTGAGGGCCTCCTCGGTTTATATTACTTTTTCTCTCCCATACAGCATCACTTTGTCCTTAAGCCAGCCTCGTCATCCCAGAAACTTTCTAGAATATCCACCCCTCCGTTCTTGCCCCGTCGCTGCCGTACCCCTAACTGTAGAGGTCGAAAAGGCGACCGAGAGTTCAAGACCGAGGCGAGGACGCATTTAAGGCCGGTATTTCGACCGTACCTTCACGGCGACTGGCAGTTGCGGAGGCTCAGACATGCTCTTGCTTTTTTTTTGGCGATTTGGCTTTTGGAGGTGTGGGATTGCTTCGGTAGGTGGTGAGATGATTGTGGAGAGGGCCGCGAGATGAGTTTAACTAGGAATAATTTTCCAGAGAAAAAGAAACAAGATCATGAAGGTGTCGGTTTTTATGATACGAACATCAGATGAGCTGTAGCCTATGTGTGGTTCGTATCTGGGGTGTAGATGGTTGATTTCGTGGAGTTGTGCAGACGTGAAATCTCTGCAAGTCGGAATTTCCACCAAAGATGAGCCAACACCACTTCTCCCGATCGCCAGCTCGACGAGAACTCTTAAATTCACTTCTTATAGTGACTGAATCTCGAATCTGGGGAATGTCCCACTCCCAGGTTCGTAGAGGGCAACACTGACAGGTGTTCAGCCTTCGTCCTCCTGGGGTACGAATGGATTAATTGAGTAGTAGAAAGTGCACGCTATGAGGCCTTAGTTGCTCTGGTTACTATAATATATATATATATATATATATATATATATATATATAGATTGGACAGAGCTGCTGGAGTGGGTCAAGTATCGTCGTCCGTCTTCCACTGGCCTTGTCTCCTGTCTTAGTTATGGTCACAATTACGAATTCATACCTTTGACTCTTGCCAACCTCGTCAGATTTTACTAAAGTCTATCAGGAACCCTCCCGACGCTACTTTTGGTACCCTCGAGCTTAACACAAAGTGATTTTTTTGGTGTTTATTATCCTGCTGAGTCTAAGACTTTGTAGAATATACAGCTCCTCTCTACCTACAGGCCAAGTATACGCATCTAGTTGTATATCCCCTCATCTAACTCCCGTACAGCTCCCCTAAAACAGTACCACCCCTCCCAAATTCCCATTTGCTCATATACTCTAACACCCTCTACTCTTCATTATCTCCCCTCTCCAGCCAGCGAACCGATATCCATTTGCGGGTGTATGGTAACCGGGAAAAATCGCAAACAACCACTACCAACGGGTCTCTTCCGTAACTGACATTAGGATTAAATCCGCAGACATAGCCACCACCCTATAGCATGCGAAGAATCCGGCTATCTAAGCGCTGCAGACTTGTGAGCACCTCAGGAATTTCACACTCTATGTTAGGGCGCGCGCAAGTGACTCTAAAGATCGCCGTCTGCCGAAGGTCACTTAGCAATGACTACGAGGTTTAATATGAGAGAATAATACTCGAGGGTTTAGATTGAGAACGTAACTTGGCGAGGTTCCAAGAGGTGAAGACGACAAGACTATATAAGATTGCGAAAAGTGTGCTACGATGTGATTACAAGAATGAGAAGCTAGAGAACTACTTTATCGTCGCTCCTGCTTCTTTGAGTTCGGCTAGGCGGACGATTCTCAACACCTGTCAGTGGTGTCCCCTACGAACCTCCAGCTCTCACTGTAGAGTCTGCAGAGCCGAGATTGAGTAACAAAGTCCGCACTTCAACGAGGATTCCCAATCGCTTTTGCCGTCTGTATCGTCTTCATATCTCAACACTTTCCCCTATCACAATTATCATGAAGCTAATCACAATTAGATCAGACGGTAGGGTCGGAGCCCTACTCATCACTAACCCTTGATCATGGAGGAAAAGCCATCCGATGAGTTTCCGGAGCGTACCCAGCACCCGATACGGACATGGCGGATTGGATCAAGTCGACCTCGACTGTTACAAAGAAGAGAGATATGGATGAATATGCGCACCTCATGTGGTCCCGGTGTCTAGGCCTCGCCTGGCTGGGGCTGCAGGTTTTTGTAACTTTTTTCCCGCGCACGCAGTTTCCACTGCTACCATTTTTATTTTTTTGAGTAGAAGGTTCCGTGGAAAAGATGGCCGAATTCCACGGGTCAACACTGAGCTGAACGGCTATTCATCAAGGGCAATATATCAATGATCTTACAAGTAACAAAAGAGGCAAGGAGCACTGTACAAGGTGTGGCCTAGGCCAGAGAGGAGCCCAACATACTAGATAGTTTAAAACTCAAGTTGTACAATAGACTTAAATCTCTCTTGAGTTCAGCTAAACTATCTGACACTATCCAACTCAGACTATAGCAAGTTCTAATCATGACTCAAACCCTAACCTCAATAAGATTGATTCAAGTTGGTGCATTACCTGATCTCACCATATAATTCCAAATTTTGGGGTATGCCAAAGACTAGCTCCTTGAAGTTTCCGCTAGAAGCCTGGTTCAAGGATGTCTCGCCACGATACTCTAACTTTCTAGCCTCATTTAAATTCTTTCTCGCAGGTCGTGCTAAAATATCAGAAAATTCTTGACAAAGTATGATTGCTGCATGGTTGCTTAGCCCAATTTCTTTTGTGCCGTTGACTCAACAACAATACAAGTCCTGGCCAATTTCCCGAAATCTTGGTCTTGGCTCCCAAAATACTTCAAATTTGAAAAACCCTCGAAACTTCGGTCACAGCCGCCTGTCCACTATCAAGTTGTATAGCTCCATCAGAGCTACGATTCTACACAAGGAAAGACCCAAGCTCTGCGTCTTAGAACTTATTCTCTTCTTTGTAGGTTTACGTAGCGTCGTAATTTTGAAGCGGATGATGACTCGTTATTCATGGAGGAACTTCTTTATCGATCTTGAAGTTGAGATGTCATTTGGTCATAAAGAGATTGAGGAGACAAATGAGATCTGTAAGATCGACATTGATGAGAAGTCGCTAAATATAGATATGATCGTATCTACATTTGACTTGGGTTTTGATGCGATTCTTCTTGGCTAATCCAACAGAAATAACTGTGCGATGAGATCGGCACTGCTGAAAAATTAAGAATTCGTCATTGGCGGCGCCCGGAGACTAGGTGATGGACGAAGGAGGCATGTGTAGATAACTCTGAGTTTTGATAATTTTCCCTGGGTAGATATTCACGGATGAGGGCTGACTGGGGGTGGAGAAGAAGCCACGGAAACTTCTCAGAGTTACTTGCAAATAAAATCCGAGGCATAGGTGCTCTGTTTTCAAATTGAGTAATCATTTCTGTATATTACCGATGTTAATATGTCAGGGCTAGTTATCTGCATTGTCAATTATCAACTGACTAAAAAAAGCGTTTTCCTAGTCCGGGTTGACCTGCACGTGATCTGTTAAAACTTACGCAACGCGAGGAAGGAAAGCGATGACTCGATGCAAAATGACCTGCGTCCTTTACCCGGTTGGATGTATAGGGCAAAGGGCTAAGGCTACCTCTAATTAGACGTAAAATAATACAAACAATGCAAAATGACCACAGCTTCATAAAAAATCGCATCTTCTGCCGTATGTTACGACGAATTCCACGCTACCAGAGCTCCGTCTACTACCATGTACGGAAGAGTGTTCAGAGTCGCGGTTAGGCTTGAGGGAATCACCATTTTGGGAGGACCGGCTCCGTTGCTAAAGCCTCGTGTTCATCATGGGCACAAGGCCGTAGCCTATCTTTAGTGACAGGCATGCGGGCCAAAATTAAAAGCATTAACTCATTTTATTGGACCAAGGGCCAGTAATTTATGGGAATGACTCGCGGATCAAAGCTGTAAGAAGAATGGCATCTTGATTTTGATGAATTACAATAGCCCTGCTAAGGAAGAAGTGCATCTTAATGCGCCCGTTTTCAGCTCCGCATCTTCTCGCGACGATTATAGAGAATTTCCGATATAATTTAGTCGACGATCACTCGGTGGTTTTGGTTACGAACATTCCAAGTTTTGCCAATCGTCAGAGCTCCGAGCGCCAGCATTTGATCAAGAAGGCTCAAGTTAAACCTACGAGACTAAGCTAATCATACTCGTTGCATATAAGACGCAAAGATGAATTGTCTTCTCGCCATCTATCTATTCACAGGGAAGGACACACCACAAAACGATCGCTTGGCTGTTATGAGCAACACTTTCGTACCCATAAATGAGATGTACACTTTGAAACATAGTTCGGCCTTCCCGGATCCCCCGAAACGTTCCGACGTGTACAAGACGTATGTCGATGTCCAAGAGCCCGGCACATATGTTACCGTTTATTGCTCAAAAAAATGGAAAAGCGATGAAATCCGTATGCAACTGTGGGACAGCCGTGATAAACTCTCAAATCATGAGAGAGGAGACCCTATCTCAAGGTCTAAGGCAGAAGCTAGCTGCTTAAGTCTCATCAATTCATTGCCCAAGGATAAATCACAGACAGACAAAATTCATAGCAAAACTCTTATAGAAACTGGCAAGTGCACTAAGAAAACCTTGGTAGATCTAGCCTTCCAGTGTAAATTTAATTCTATCGGTCCTCATCTTACCAACTCAGAAGAATTTTTTAATTATCGTCCCACTATTAGCTTTGATGATCCCATAGAAATGTCGAGTCTGGTTATAGATGGAAAATTCATCAACACAGCGGAAGTAAGAGATAATGAACTTGCACTTGCTTGGTCTAACGGTAATATCCACCTCTTTATGAGTTCTTCGGATAAGAAAGAATGGTATACAAAGTCATCTATAGTCTATACTCCACAGAATGGGGAACTAATTACCGGTTTTCTATTGAGAACTAATCCACAAATCAGTAAGGCCTGGAAGGAATCGACTCCAGGTATCTCTTACATCCCAAACACTGGATCATCAAAGCTCTACGAAGTAAAAGGACGAGTCCCCATACTCGGGACTAAACTCAAGGGGTCCATACTGGCGGTGGATAAACTTCCCTCGAGCGACGCTACAGGCTTCCTATCTGGCCGAATATGTAAATATTCTGGCGATGTTCATGAGTGAAACCCCGAATTCTTATATCAGTATGTCTAGAACGCCTAGCCTAGACCGGATGTAAAAATAACTTGATGGAGCCGAAATGAGAGAAATTTATCATTAGGAACATGAACCATTTGGTGATCTGAGATCTAGTCACTTTTCAACTGACGCCTATACATAGTAACCACAAGTGTTTGCCTCGTTGCAGACGCACAATATTCATGGAAATTATTACTATTACGGCGTGCGCTAATGATATCGGAGAATTATAAACACTAACGAAGGATACTTCGAGATAATTAAACAATCAAAGTACCAGATGGTCAAGGGCAGGAGAGACGAAGGATTGTCGAAAGAGAATAGTCAAGACGTCAGATTTCGGAGCAAGCAAAGTAGTCTGATAAATTTAGATCAAATGAAGTACGAAGAATGTAATAAGTGGTAAAAGACTGAAATATTATACTTTGAGTATATGTGATTATAGTATTGTAAGGTTTCTAGAATTCGAGATTGAGAAACTGGAGAACTACTTTGTGACAGCTCCGGCTTCCTATGGCATAACTAAAGATTTTGCAATTATTCAACTCTAGCTAGCTCGAGATCTAGCCCTGACTCCAACCCTAACCTCAAGAGGCTCGATCTAAGCTGGAGCATTAACTTAATTGATAATCTTACTGTGACTGTCTCAGATTCGTCGATAAACTTTGCCTTGGAACTTCTCCGTGAGCTTCCCGCTTAAACACAGATTTAAGAATGTCTCGCCATAACAATTATCCACATGAATAATGTGCAATTTTATGTTGTCAACAATACCTCCTCCACAACAACAACAACATTTGGTGGCGACACTGAAATTAGCTCATGAACATTACGAGCTTCTGAGAAACTAGGAAGAAATGAAATGACTATACTCCAACTTTTTATAAAAAATATTTCGATTGGAGAATATTATTTGTCTGCTCTAGGCGCCATGGCAACAGCTGAGTACAAATATGTCATACACCTCTGATTCTGTGAGAGAAGTTAACCGTTAGTTTGTCTGAGTATGGTTGCAGCAATGGCGGCTCTTAATTATCATACCATGGATACAGGTCGGAAAAACAGCTATTTCTGATTTCAAGGGCCTCTCAGCGTAGCTGTATAGCTTGATAAGAGATTACTTTAAATTTATATGACAGCCGCTAAGGACCACTGTAAGCCATCTGGGTCGGGCTTGAATGGTAGCGGCATAGTTTGTGTCTAGATCCCTCTAGTTGGCCCGAAGTCTAGGCCCTCACGCACGGATGTTGATGGCACTAGGGCCGTGATGTGCGTCTTGAATACCAAAATCACTAGACCCTTATTTTACAGATATATATATCTGTATGGTGTATATTTTTTATGTCTAAAAGCTACCACCCTACAGAGGTGGTGTGTGTAATAGTTACTCCGAACCTCGAACGGGGGTACTATGATCCGAATCTTCTGGATCCACAGTGACACCTAGCCAGCGCGTGTAGGGCTTAGTGGGATCTTCCGAGACCAGTAGTTGCTAGATGATTTGAATTCATGTCGTATCAGGCTTACGCCCTACACCCAATAGGCGTGATACGGGTCTATGCTCCCTCGGGACACACTACAACCTAAATATATCGTTTACTTGTCAAATCTATAGGCAAAACATAAATAATTAATTTCAAGATAAATAAGCGCCCTGCACCTTTCCTCCTTCCTCACAACCCTATGTTCTGAAAAAAATATATTTCGGCAGGACTTAATCCCCCCGGTGTGATGTCTGCCTCTGGTAACACCTAGTTACTGTTAAGAACTTGTGAAATATTTCCCAACCCTTTTCTGTCAACATCTCCCGTCCTCTCAGTGGTAGTTCATGCTTCGAGTTTCTCCATTGCTGTTGAGCAATCTGGCATTCTGTCAAATGCCAAAGTCGTTTTTCTCTTCCGCACCCGCATTTGCAGTTTTCAAATTCGTGGCCAAACCTTTCTTGATATTTTCTGAAATTGCCATGTTCAATCCTTGCTGCGATACGGCAGTGATGTGCCCACCTCGGAAGTGATAGCTCCGGTGGACGTTTTCGTTTCATCCGGAGATCCAATCCTTCGTAGCGGCTCGGTCTGTGATCTAGCCACCAGGATTCCACTAATTTTTCACATCGTTGCTTAACAAACCGAGTGAGGGCTGCGAAGATTTACTTAGGTCCGTCCCTCGATTCGGTGGGAGATGTAGCCGTTTTATTCGGTAGATTCCTGAGGGCTTCCTTCGCCAGTCTGTCTGCATCTTCATTCCCCATGATCCCAGCGTGGGCTGGTATCCATCAGATCTCAACTGATCAGGTTTTTCATGCTAGTCTTGTGGATAGTTCCACTGCAGCCTGGGAAGATTTCGTTTGGCCGGTTTTTAAAGCTCTCATGGCTGTGGAGTTGTCGAGGAGTAAATTTATCGGACAGTCGCCTGATTTTCCCATGGCTCATTCGAGGAGTTTTTGGGCCCCAATGGTTTCGGCATCGTAAACCTCCACCCCTAGCAATGGATCAGAGTCACTCCAAACCACCTGGCCTCCTTTGTTTAAGGCATAACCCCACGTAGACCTAGCTGGTCCACATGATGAGCCGTCCAAATAAGCGCAAACTACCTCCGCCGACAGGCTTGATATCCATTACTTAGCGTAAGGTGCTTCATCCTGAATGTCCCCGCTATTAATTTTTCTGACTTACTCGGCTTTTGGAAAGTATAATTTGCCGGGTCCTTCGGCCATCGGCACATTTTTAGCGCTGATCTAAAGTCGCGTGAGGTAGCGTTCTGGGAACCTGAATGGCCGGTTCTTCTGGCCTATGCGGAGACCGAGGCGGCTTATTGTATCCTTTGGACCCTTTCTAGACCTGAATACTAACGGATGCCACGAGTCCAACCTTTGAATCCGTGCGGCCGCTAGCATTTTTCTCTACTGTAAAATAATAGCAAACAGGGAGATGTCCGACTCTCTGTGTAGCGCCACATTTGGTGTAGTTTACCACACCGGTAACGCCGCTAGAACTGTCTTCAGGATAATGCTGTCAAGGAGATTGGTGTGTCAGCCTACTCCTGTACCAACCTTCTTGTCCCGCTAAGTTTTAATTCGGACGAGATCTGACCACCATGCTTCTGCTCCATATAGTGCTGTACTAAGGACATAAGCCTCCACTATTTTGATCATAAATCCAGGAACTGCACAGTGCTGTACAGAGTTTGTTCGACGTAAAAACTGTGTTATACGCTGCGCCTTCCCTCGCCATTACTGGGCCTGTTGCTTGAAGTTGAGCTGAGAGTCTATCCATACTCCCAGCCATCTCACGTACAGGAATGTAATTACGCTATAACCTTGGATATATATAGATAGGCCTGAAGTATCTAGCTTTCTCTTTGGCCCTCCCCCAATTACCAGTAGTTCGGATTTTGTCGGGTCGAATTCTATCCTATTTTCACTCGCTAACTGAACTAGTTTGTCGACTTCTTTCTGGGCTTCGGCCACTGTTTCAGACGCGGTACTTCCTATGCTGAGTATCGTGATGTCTTCAGCGTACCCGAATTTTGTGTTCTTATTTTCGTCTTGTAATAAGATTGCGATATATAATAAGAGCGGTAGAGGTAATACCAGTGACTCTTGTGCGACTCCACACTTGGCGAATTTATCCCGCGTCGTTCCATCACAGTACCGCACCTTAATTCTTCACGAGTTGGAAAAGACTCTACCCACAGGCAAAGTATCCTTGGCCATCCCCGATTCCGCATCCGATGAAGCGGCCGTTTGTGTAGAATCGCATCAAACGCGCCTAGAGTAACCCTGACCGTTACCTTTTTATTTCGCATTGCAGCCTCTGCATCGTGTATGTCACAAGAGACTAGGTCAGCTACTGAGCGTCCAGGAAGTGCGCCAAACAGCTGTTGAGTAACTACTCGGTGCTCTCTTGTTAGCCAGGCTTTTCTCTTGACCACAATTCGTTCCAAAACTTTCCCGAGACAAGACAGAAGAGAGATTGGTCGCCACACCTTAGCTATTGCCAGGTCCCGTCCAGGCTTAGGGAGAGGGATGACCTCCGCAACTCGAAGCATGGTGGGTAAATTTCCGAGCTATAAGCAGGCTTGGAATAGTTTCTTCGCGTGATCTCCAATTTGCTCTCAGCACACCCAAAGTAGCCTGACCGTGATTTTGTCCGTCCCTAGAGACCAATTGCCTGTTCCGATGGTGCTCAATTTTACATCCTCTTTCGATAATGTTGTGTTCCATGGGATAGACTTGGATTGTCCCGTCTCCCATGTGGAGAGATCGTAAGCTACATTAAATCTTGTCTTCAGGATATCTTGCAGATTTTTCACTCGCTCAAGTGGGTCCGATATCCATTTTTCCTCCGAAACTTTCAAGGGAGGAAATTCTCGACATAGCTTGGGTTAGGCCTATTGCATTATCTTAAATACATGGGTATCCGTAGTGGCGTTTTCGACCTGCTTCCTCCAGTGATCCCTTTTTGCCGCTTTGACCATTGCTCTAAACCTTTTCCAGGCATAGGCTGCTTGTTCTGGGTCTTCTCTGGATTCTCTGAAATCGAGTTGCTTTAAATTGTATTCCTCGTTCCACCATTGCGCCGATCTTTCGGCTATTCTTACAAGTTTTTGTCCCACTGCCCAGCGGGTGTCTATGAGAGCTTTTTTTTAAATCATTTAATGTGTATTCAACTATAGAGCTATAACACATGAACGATGATATGTTTACATGTAGGATGACTCTTTTGACGTTAGAGACACTCATACTCTGTATTTCATTCGCAAATACCACTAATAGGTATGCTTGCTTACACAAACATTCGAACCTCCTCCGTGAGTACCCACCAAAGGGACGTTTCAAAATCTTTGGTTATCAAAGCATGCATTCGTCATCCATGCATACCAGCGCCGCAAAAAATATGGTTGTGATTTGCCGGATATGAACTAGCGATCCACTGTCTCGAGTGGGATGTGTGTCCAAGCTATCCAGACTCTAATTGGCAGACCGGCCAAGACGATGTACCACTGCACCATCCAACCATGGAGATATTTATAGTGTCGCCTGCACTCTCTCAACCGAAGCCTTAGCACGCATAGGACTCAATTTGTTAAAACTCCTTGCCAAAATTCGAAATTCCACGCCCGTCGAGATTGTATCCATCCTCTGCATCATCTTGTAAACTTGTCCTAATCCCTCTCACGCCCATCCCAAAGAACAGTCTCCCAGATTTGTGCGCCACGCTTTACTTCCTCCGTCGGGTGTGAATATCGGCGTGGGCGTGTATTTGGCGACCAGCTGAGGCCAGGGAAGGTCGACGAGAGGTGTGGTCATTGGGATGAGGACGTACTTGGTCGTACTTGTAGACTTGATGAGACTTGGGTTGGAGTCAAACTCGTTGGGAGCGATAAAACGACGTGGTGTAGTAATTTGAATCATTGCCTCGTAGGCCAACTTCTTTGATATTGCGAAATTTGACTGAACTTGGCTCTGGAAGAAAATTTCACTCCCAGGTTCGTAGAGGACACCGCGTACAGGTGTTTTGTCTTGCCCTCCTCCTCCTCCTCTAACCGATGACCGTTGTACAGGCCACATAATATTTACACATGATTGTACAAGCAGGATATGCCAGCCAATTTTTGAAAAGGGTTTAAAAACATGATTAGCGCCAAAATCACAAACAGTAACAGTCAGGACCGACCAATAGTAGTACAAGATTACGAGTCATGGATGATCACATAAGTACAAATAGTTACAGAATAATTTCAGGGAGATGACATTAGATAATGCGTTTAGAGCTAGATTGGTCGTTCGTGAGGCCTTCGCACACTTAGCCCGCAGGGTTACATTTATTTTCTTGCGGGATTGAGGTAGCTTTGAATGTAGGTGCTAGTTAGGTCGACATAATCCAAGACCAGTACAATACGGCGAAGAGTTTGTCCAACACTTCGTGAGTACAATAGCTCTAGTTGAGGATATCTAAGAGGTATTGAAGGGCTGACGGCGATGAATAAGGAGACGTCACCTTGTGAATAGAGTACTGATTAGTATGGGAGAATTCGATAGATCACTCGGACGGAGTAAGATGATTGGATGATGGTGAATTGTAGGTGTGGAAGTGGATAGCTATCAGGAGACAATAGTGATCAGACTCTAAGGGGTTAAATTAGCTGTGCACGGTTATCCCCTCATGGTGTGTGCAGTTATGGACTCAGAATCCTACAATATGAAACCCGCATCCGACATTTTGTCAATGATGCAAATCTAGCCTCGGCCCAAGTCACGAGGGCATTGAGTACACTTCTCTAATACATATTTAGCACACCAGTAACAGTGGATGGCTCTATCCCTTAAAAAACTTCAATTTCCTCCAAATTTGCAAAATTTCACAAATACTCGTGTTAGAATCGTATTAAATAGAAGACTCTATTTAATGTGAAACTTCATTTTAGAGATTTTGTGAAAAAGATGTTCGAAAAAGTATGGAAGATAAATTTAGATGAACTTATTAATATATACCAGTATTATGGCTTGAGAATCTCAAGCTCTCATGCTAGTATAAATTACCTATTAAGCATTTCTTTGTGGTTCAGCCAAGCTGTTTTATTCTAATTTAGCTCTAGTTTTTTTTAACTGTCAATTTCTTATAATGATAAATAATCGGTCGACGGGATGAGATTAAGTGCTCAATATTTTGAGTTGAAATAATCCGAAGATAATGGAGATGACGCCATCCTAATACTCCTTAAAGACTCGTCACGAATCACGATCAGTCGGACTGAATTTTGCTAGCTGACCAGCATAAAGCTCCAAAAAGGACGTACTTTGTGCCAGCACGATTCAGTTGAGATTTTTTCATTTGGCTGAAAAGAGGGTTCAATCTTGAAATAATGCAACCAAAGTGATTGTAATAATTTTCTAACTGGTATGGCTACCAGCATTCCTCTGGGGGTACAGCTTTTTTATACTTTCCACGAATAAAGAGACATCTTTTGGGTGCCAAGGCATGGCGTGATGATAATCAATCTCAATGCAAGTGACCGTCTTCTGATCAAAGTGGGATTTCATTTGGACTTTTCCCGCTTCATAGCAGGAGTCGGAAAGACCGTGCAAGTGCAGGGTAGGAATTCGAATCTGCTCATCTTTCTGGCATATCAGCCGGTTCGAATTAGCTTCATCCCATTTCAATAATGCTACAGTAGTCAGTGTTGCAAGCAAAATAATGTGAGGGGGGTTGGGTACATTCAGGTATAGTAGATGACATAGGGGCCCCAGCGCCCATACACAAGATGCCAAATTTAATATCAATATCTCCATCCACAGTCTCTTTGTTATTCCTCCATTGCTGCCATCTTAGCAGGCCAGCTACGGTCCGGGTCCCCTGGCTGAATCCTAAACAACCGACCCATTTTCCACCAGGACCGCATTCTCTGATCAGCCGTACGACTCGATCAATACCCTCTTCATCATCATAATTTCCAGCAGTCCCGTCTGGGATATCATCTCCGTTCTCTCCCTTGGTAAACCAATTCAGGTATGGGCCCCACGTTTCTTCGCTGAAGAATGGAAGTACACCTGCACCCGGTCCACTCTGGAAGGGTGCGCCAAAGAAGACGAACTCAAAGCTATTGCCGAGATGGCGCTCGAGCGCTTCACACTGTCTCTTGAAGATCTGGGGAGTGGAGCCGCCACCGTGAAACATCGCTACGCGCGGGAGCGGCGTTTTGTTGGACATTCTGATTCAAAGTAGTCGGGGAGGTGTTTGTTCGTTGGGTTGAGCTAGTTCAAACAGCTTTTAAATAGGACATTCGTTATATACAGACATGAGGACTACTCGCTTACGACTGGGCATACTCTGCACAGACTGGTCTAGTGTCATTGGATACTCCGCGCCTCGCATTTCCCCTCGACTGCCCCTTCTAGGTGCGGTGTCTCAAGAATGACGGTGGAGGTAGAGTAAGCACTCGATCCTAGTTGACGTGGTAAATTAGAACTGTGTCATTCCGAAATATATGATTTGATGCTAATTTTGTCTCAAGGAGGAGGTTCTCATAATAATTTGATCGTTGATCTGTAGATCTCCCGATCTAGTGCGGCTAGCGCAGTGGAGTGCAGCGCCCCTATATGTAGCGTTACATATACGTCAAGGATACTGCGGGTCACTGGCGCCTCAGTGATTCTAGCGCTAGCTCCCTTGCCACTTGCCGTAGGTAAGCTCTCCATAGCTATCATATTATAGCCTTACCATTTGCCCTTGTATTTTTTGTAAGGACGTGTCCCTGTCAGGTGAAAGAGCCTCTGCGAATCGTTCAATGTACTCGCAAATTTTAAGACTTTGCTTAGTTTCCTTCATCACATAGTATTCATGTTAGAAGAAATTATCTGATGTTGAGCGCTGGAGCAGGTAGCATATCCTTTTGGGAAAATCTCGAAAGTTTCGATGCCAGTCTGGATGCGGACGGGTGCATGATCTGCGCGCAGAAAGGCAGAAGTAGCCTCCAGGCGAATACCATGGCTAAAACGCAATCAGCCGCGACCCTCGAATTTCCTGTACCTACAAACTCTGTAAATTGATGGAGCTACACATGGATAGTAGATCATGAATCGTGCGTTTGAGCCGATGTGTGCCATAGCGCGTGTAGAGCAGTGCAGCTGATCTGACTGATCTTTCGGTAAATAAGCGCTTTAAAACTAACAGGGCCAAAGATTCCTTAATCTGTACTATCGGGTCCCCCCGAACATGGAAATAAACGTATCTACGGGTCTCCCTGTGATCATGACGCCTACCATCGACAGGTATGATTTGTTGGCTTGTCTATCTTTATCTCCCCCCTTGAGAAAACTAATCATTTAAATTCTGGAGGAAGATGTCTCACATATTTCTGAAAACGGGACCGAGAAATTCAACAGCTATTGGGACAACTGTATCGGCCCGCAATACATATTGTACAATCGCCGTTTTTACTGATCTTGTGGGAGCTCCACGAATTTCCTCTCCTCAGGTTGGCCTTACGTAGCCAATTTCAAGGAAATAATTCTAATTATTCTGATGCCTCTAGTTCATTACCTAGGATCTAGGGTTTAGTATTCAGCAGCCAACAGGAATCTGCGTGATTGCTTAAACCCTTCAAAACTCTTCAAAACTATCGCAACAACAGTTGCCCCAACACGACGTCACAAGCTCTCAACAGCAGTGAGGTCACGTATTTATACCTCTATGACTTCATTAATTATTGAGCTTGATATGGTGCCCTTGCTAATTATGATTACAGCAATGGTAAATATAGATTTGGTCTTAAAAGGCTTGGATATACGTCAGACTAATCTAGGATCCTTTAAGAGTTTTACTCCGAACCAGATACTTGGGGGACCCTTACTAGGAAACTAACTATCTTTCCGTCATGAGAAAAGATCATGTCTGAAAAAAGGTATCAGATAAGTTTTCATAAATTTTCGAAATAAATTTTGTGATGATCTAATCTTGTTGTCTAGTCGAAGCATTTAAAAGGGATCAAGCAAGCATAAACGTCAAGCGTACTTCTTAAAGGATGGCTAGGCTCTGTGGACACCAACCAAATTATTCATTAAGATTTAGAACTATGCTGGCGTCGGATCGCCTAAGGGACAAGGTACATAGAACGAGGGCGTTTAAACAACAATATTCCCTGTTCCAGCAGTCTCCGTCTCTATCTTTCAAGCAAGAACCGATAAAGCACAACTGAGATAGTTGTACCGCTGACACAAAATGACATTGATGCTACCATGCTATCCACGGTGCTGCTCCAAACTTTATCGGCTACAAATCGACTTTCGTTCCTCTTTTAGAGGGGATCAAATCGGTTGCGGTTGAGCCCAAGATTACGGTCTTGAATTCATGATTGGGCCTCGTAAGGCCTGCCAGACCTCGTGACAAGAGTGTACCACGGTACAGATAGGGAAGTGCTCGCCCACCTTTATCGGGACAGTCGGGATTATACCCCTGTAAGTTCTAGTCTCGGCACTGCTTTGTAACGTAATGACAGCCACTTCACTGTCTAGGAAAAAGTCATCGGTCACGGAGAGAGGCCCGTCAAACGTGTCCAGGGAGGATCACTGGCGGTGACAGATGCATGTTCAAGGATATGCTCATAAGAGGGGGCATTCGCTCATCCGTCAAAAGAGGTTAATCTTTACTGCACTTACTAGCATGGGTTTAGCCTGCAGAGGCGACAAGGCAATATTTCCAGCCCCCCTCCCCATCCCGCGGCCAGATCGACCGAGGACTAGAAAGCGCTGATCTCCCCGCTGCCATGCGCCGACCCTGGAAGACTCGTTGAATTGCGGCTCTAGGCGATCATTGGACGGCACTGCAGGTCACGGCAGGTGATATGAAATCTTGTCAGCTTCACTGGCATGTGAGGACAGCGCCGGCGGCCCATTCGACATGAACGCCCGACAGTGACGTGGAATTTAGCCCTCCCTAGCCGTCGGGAGCGGCTCTTGCGGCGGACATATCCAGCTGCCGGGGCGTGCGCATGTGGGCCGCTCACCGAAGCTAGCACAGCCAAAGGGCCAGGTGCGTGATAGAACGGCGAGCAGGGACTAGGAGTCTAGAACAGGGTAGGGAAAGTGGATCCGGCAGTCCGGCTCCAGCGCGATGGGATATACAGCGGGTCGTCGGGTCGTTTTGTTTCAAGATCTCTTAGACTATTTTCACGCTTGTATAGCTATCGCAACTTATCAGTGTCTCAGGTATATGTCAAACGCTTTGATTCTTTTCACTGATGCCTACTTTCGGGATTTCGTTCGCGAAAATCTCGAAAAAATCTGTCTGTTCGCACAACACTATTAGTTCTCGCCGACCTCAGGGCTGAATACCTGCCAATATTATCTTAGAAGAGATTTGTGTAAAACCTCTCTCATAGCCGTGACTTTGTCGCAGAGATGGGTGGAACTAGCTCTTTTCAATGGATCTCCGACCTGAAGGGACTGTACTCGGTATTCAGGCCGAAAAATCAGCTATCAGATATTACACCGCCGCAAGAATGTTAAACAAAGCCTTATCACCATCAATTTACGATTCACGAATGTGTCTAATTCAATTGGGGAGTCGTATTCAAACAACTGATACCCCTCAAACTCCTAATTTAATTACGATGAGGCATTTCTCGGTCGATCCTTCACCCGTAACCCATCTCAACATTCATCACATCACTTACTAACACACGCCCCAAGGATGAAAGTTACGTCAGAAGCAGAACGTACGCGATGGATAAAAAGATGGAATAAACACCGAGAGTATAATACAGATCACCTGTGACGACAACAACCCAAGAGTATGATGAGGATGTGCAAAATCCGAACAAAACTAGAATCTAGGACAACATAGATAGCTCGGAGCCAATGAAGATGTTAAGGGCTTGAAGTAGTGGTTGTCTAAGCTGTGGAAAAGTCTGCGCTACGGAGTTTACGAAGCGGGTTCTTTGACGGTAGGGCTTAGTATAATTCAACACATAGGTGAAGTCTGAGTTAGTTCGTTCATATAGGTGGGTCGAGATTTGTTATACTTTTATAGTAGTTAACCTGATCTAGCCTGGTTTATTTTTGCATCAGATTTTAATTGCGTATGCAGCTATCTAGCTATGACACAATATCAAAGAAAGGTACAGAGTAGCTGATTCAACGTTAAGGAAGAGCACTAATGCCTCGGATTCTCCGCGCGAAATGCAATCTGAGATGTCTCCTTCCCAAGTGGAGTAGGTGCCCAGGCTACTCAAACTATACCAGAGAACACCACCAGGAGGCAGATCAGAACACCTCCCATCGTCGGCTTGTGTTTATAGTGTCAACTGCAGTCTCGCAAGCGACGTCTTGGCGCGCACAAAGCTTAGTTTGTAAAAACTCCTTGCTAAAATTCGTAATTTCATGCCCTTCGAGGTTATATCCATCCTTTGCATCATCTTGTAAACTTATCCTAATCCCTCCCACGCCCATCCCAAAGAGCAGTCTCCCAGATTTGTGCGCCACGCTTTGCTTCCTCCGTCGGGTGTGAATATCGGCGTGGGCGTGTATTTGGCGACCAGCTGAGGCCAGGGAAGGTCGACGAGAGGTGTGGTCATTGGGATGAGGACGTACTTGGTCGTACTTGTAGACTTGATGAGACTTGGGTTGGAGTCAAACTCGTTGGGAGCGAAAAAACGACGTGGTGTAGTAATTTGAATCATTGCCTCGTAGGCCAACTTCTTTGATATTGCGAAATTTGACTGAACTTGGCTCTGGGAGAAAATTTCACTTCCAGGTCCGTAGAGGACACCGCGTACAGGTGTTCAGTCTTGCCCTCTGATCCAGCCTGGTGTCACTCATGCTTGGCTCGTCGGGAAGGCAAATGGCGTCATTTTCCTAGCGCGCACAAACAACAAGATTGGGTATTTGTAATATACCCTGTGCGCATTATGGAGATATACAATATGGAAATATGAATTCCTTGTACTGTTTAAATATATGGGAACACGGGAAAAGTATACAGTATAATTAAAATCCCTACCGAGTTTGAGAATGTGTAGGACTACTAAAGCTATCTTACGAGCTCTATGTTATTGTTGATTGATAAACTTAATCTATTCTGTATGATCTGAAGGATTCTGAGAGTCATGCTCTAGTAGGGAACATTGGGCTTGTTCAAACAAATTTATATATATCCATAGGATAGATCTCAACTAATCATGTGTGCATACATGGATAGCGATCCCCAGCCATTGTTCATCTACTGTAGTAATAACCGATGCAGCGCAGTACGTGAATTTATAAGCGTTTACGCGACAATTAGTGCGATTAGCGCATCTGAGACAAGTGGAAGGAGAGTTGTTTTAGTCGGGAACCTTGAGCTAATTAGATGTCGCCTGAGTTCAACATTGAGGGACTTTAGGTTCAATAATATCTACTACTCTGATTTATCTACTCGAATATGTTAAGCAGCTGACACTCTCCCTTCAATAAAGCGTCCGAGACAACTGTGAGGTCTAGCTCGAATAGTACTAGTCGATGCAATCGCGGCGTGGGTGTCCTCGCACAGACATTCTTCTCCGTCCTGCATGTTGGCGGGAACGAAGGCATAACTATCATCTCCGTCACTACCTCTTAAAACCAGTGATTACGAGTCATTCTATGTGGACAAAGGGGCATGGAAATGACTCTGAAGCTTACCAGCCGCTCGAGTGTACTTTGAATTCAAACCGGTCTGTAGTAGATAGATGTGAGCGAATTTCCATAGAGTTCTCCATGGTGTCTTTCAGAGTATATGTAGATCTGGATATGCAGTCTCCAATGGAGAAATATGATGAAGCGAAGGGAATCCACAGATCCGATGTCTTGCATTACGCCCTTCGATTTATTTTCCCAACTGCCTGGGATAGACTGCGAAAGCAAATGAGACAAACGTGACCCCGTATCAGAGAGTCTCCACTGAACATGATTCTGGCTGTGAAGTGAGCCCACTTAGTATTGGATCTACACACATATGCATACTTATGAAGCGCAGGCGTTGACCTATGCAATCCTTTCAAAACGGTAATTACCCACAAAACTGATTCAAGGTAGCAGCTGTGGACTGCTGTAAGTCTGTGCCTATTCCTATGTCGACAATATACAGCAAGCCAGAGACGAGTCAAGGTCCATCGTAGCATCGCTATTCAGATAAGACGCCAACACATCGCGCTCAACTCTTATTTTTTAAATCATTTCATGTGTATTCAGCTGTTTAGCTATGACACGTGACTGGTACTATGTATACATGTAGGATGACTCTTTTGACATAAGAGACACTTATACTCTATATTTCATTCGCAAATACCACTATTAGGTATGCTTGCTTACACAACAGTCGACCCTCCTCCGTAAGTGCCCACCAAAGGGAAATTCAAACCCTTTGTTTAGCCAAGCATGTTTTTGTCATCCGTGTGCACTAGCGCCGTGAGAAACGTAGTTTATTTTTGCCGGATATGGACCAGTGGTCTCCTGTCTCAAGCGGGATGCGTGTCCGAGCTATCCAAACTCTACTAGGAAGACCGGCCAAGACGATGTACCACCGCACCATCCAACCATGGCAATGTTTAGAGCGTCGCCTGCACTATTCTAGCCCCATGTATCTTGCTGTCATAAGTTACTGTTATCATAGTTGAGGTGGTTATGGTGAAAGAGGGCGATAGGTGCAGCTACGATAAAGTATAATGACCCTGATCAGACTGGCAATATATTCCAATAAACGTCCTTTTGCCTCAGGCATGTACCAAGAACATGTAGTATATAGATTGGTTGTTGTAGATATAGGATTGGCGATCGAAGTGTTGGAAGCTGATTCAAGAGCCCATCATTATTATTATATGACCTTTATTTACGAATCAAACTGAGTTTACTCTATCCGTCTCCTATTGATCACAGCCAAGCTCGGAGATATCCGAGCCGTCCATCCAAATCTGTAACACTTGCGAGTAAGGACCAGCAACAATCTGAATATCCACAGAAGAAAACAAATCAGAGAGTATAAATTTAGGATGCAGATCTTTGGGATGGTCGTGAGAGATATCAGTGTAGATGGAAAATATGATAGCAAGGATCGATAAAATATTCAAAAATGGTTTATCTCAACATGAGGGAAAGAGAGTTTAAAGAGCATTTCGCAAGGCAAGTCTTAGGTTATTGGAACGTAGATGACACTTTATTCACAGTCTCGACTACATGATCTCTCAAGCAGATTCTGGACAGCTTTTTTCAATTCATATTGTATTCATGTCGGTTGGTTATATACACGTGTACGCGTACGCAATGGGTTTCTCTCTGATCTGGTGGTGCTTGTTCTATTCACTTGTTTGTTTTCTATTTTTCGTCTGTCGGGGCGCCAAGCTTGACTTAGGTCCCTACTACCCACCAAACTACCTAGAGGCGTGGACGCCAGTGCTTACTGCCCTGGTGGTTTCGCCCTTGCTACTTCCTGACAAGGTTTGCAGGGCAGTTCGCAAATTACATGATTGCGTTTAGCACAGCACCTGCACTTTTTCCGCCAGTCCCCGAGGCGCTTTACTCATTTGATGTATAACCACTCTCGAGATACTACTAATAGATCCATTCATAAATACCGCACCATCCATCCATAATGCAAGGCTCGGAGTTGGGGCAGAGTTGAAGACCTATTTATTTCTTCTCTGGGGTTTCTAGGGCAGGTCTTTATGTAAAGCCCTGAAATAGAAAGCCACTTTGCTACACTTAGGGCTTCTTCCCAGGTTCCTAGCAAAAATTTCTTTGGGTCCTTTGAAGATGCTGGAGCTCGAGGAGGCCTATGAGTGGTTAGGTGGCACTCTAGGAAGTGCAATGGGGCTTTGAGCTGTCCGCAGCCACAATGAAGGTTAGCGCCCTCGTGATTGAAACGGCGGTGGAGTTCCATTCACTTGCGGGCGTGTCTGCCATCTGGGCGACGCGGCGAACCGCACTAAGTCATGTGACTACTGCCTACTCACAAAACAAACTCCCATACCTGCCAGCTGACCACAAACCTACTTCGGCTTTGAGGATTCCTCATTGATATTACAACAATTCAGCTCTTTAGCTATGACAATATCTAGAGAGCTTGGATAGCCGAAGATTCAAAGGTTCTCTTTTGGCGAATCCTCACAGACGAGGACCAACTATTTTGTCTACAAATATACCTCACTGAGATATTTTAAAATCAACAGAGTATGAGTGCCTCTGAAGTTGTTGGAAAATATACTCTGCACGATATTAAATGGATATATAGCTCAGTATACATAAAAGGATTCAGAAAAGAGTATGAAGTAACGGAACTTCCATCAGAGGCACAGGAGAGAGTTCATATCAGATGAACGGTGTTAGTGTACTTCCTGAAGAAACCCTTCGAAACTCGAGGCGTAACATAGGCAACATTGGAAGATTTTTACCATCTTGGCTTACTGTTTTTAAATTATTATAGCTATTAAAACCTGCATGGGCCCATTGGGTCATGTTCGGATGAAGTAAATAATTTAGTTGTCCTGATTTGGCGCCTTGAGGCCCATGTAGGATTTTATCGGAAAATATGCACTTGAAGCTGACCCAATATGAGGTTTAGGACACTCATAATCAGAATTCATTTGCACATACCACTCGAGGTTAACCCATTTTCATGAATAGACGTAGTGGAAGTTAGGATGGTGTCTCATGAGGAGTTCCATGCCAAAACACAACTCGGGGTTAGCCTGACTTCCTGAACAACTGGGACAGACTCAGGAACATAGGGTCGTTTCATAGGAATTGCGTAGTAATACTAACGAAAGAGAGCTTAGGGCTGTCCTATTATCTGGTGTACACATATACCCAGCGTGAAGGAGTATTCTTCTTCACGCAACGTCTTCTGTTTACACTGCTACCTATTGTCCACATACTTATTTCTTCTCTAAAGAAGACCGCCGTTATTGTACCAATCTCACCTATTACTCACTTTACCTCTTCCGTGAACCCTATACCATACGCTGAATTTATACCTCCTTCTCGTAGGAATCACCACTATACTCCACACCTAAACCCTACTCGTACCCTACGGAATACCGATAACTCAGTGTTACGGTTTAACCGTTGTTTGAGCTTAGGTGGATACCTAAGCCTGATACCAAGAATTCTTGCGATGAGGCTGTATGAGGGGGAGATGAAGCTGAACGAGCCGCCGCTACTACTCAGGAGGCTCAAGCGTCATTACAACTTAGTGACACCTGGAAATACGTGGCTGGGTAAGAAGTATTGTGCCTAAAGACAAGTCACTAGTCTGTAGATTCACGAGGGGGATTAACTCTTATAAATACTTGTTAGTAGTAGCTAGAGTTAGCTTTTCTCCTCATATAGTTTATTAAATCGATTTATTCATCACCAACTCGGTTTCCGTCACACTCAGTACATTGAGACTCTGACAGCGTACACCCTCTTCCGTGCATACCCACCTCAGGGAAAAGCGTGAAAAAGCTGTTGCTAACCGAGAGTGCTTTCGTCATCCCGAAAGTATTACATCACCGCGAGAGAGAGTGGAGTAGGAGTTTGACTGGTTATGAGGCAGCTTTCTCTTGTCTCATGTGGGATTGGGGTTCAAGCTACCCGGAATCTACATGGGACAACGGCCCGAGCCCACAGGGTACTGACCGGAATAAATCAAATCATATCAAATCAGTGGTAGGAAGTACAATACTTAATTTATTCAACCGGAGATATACAATCTTCGGTCATCTCGTCCTGATTCTTATGTGGACAAAGACATCCCTCACTTTTCCAACATTCCCAACAACCTAATGGCTTATTCAAGTCTAGGCCACTAATATTTCCATCTCGTTCACAACCTTCCACTCCAACTTTTCGTTGGTCTTCTACCTCGTCTTCCAGTTTGCATTCTTTTAATTTACCATCATGCCTATAAAATACTCCTTTGAATTTATCTCTGCCCGTTAAAACTAGAATGTAGCTAACGTTAAGGTTATTTCCTGCACAGTAAGCATAACTCATTACAGAATATAGAAATAACTTTACTTTTCAAGGCTTTCTCCGTATGTCTCAGCGGCCAAAACCATTCAGAACTTGTCATTTTGCGATTAAATTGGGAAGAGTGGCGAGGATATCTATAGTTTTTGTGTTTGTTTGCATAAAATTGTGCGTAGTCGCGTATTGCTTTTTCTTTGTTGAGACGGAGATAGCTACTTGAAAAGCTTTGGCCCAGGCAGACGGCCATTTGTCTTCGTCCTTCGTTTTCGCGATGCGTATGAGCCAGGGACTTTGCATTAGCGTCAGGTAAAATGACAGTCCTTATTATTGGACAGGTTTCTATGTCATGAGATCGACGCAAGACTCTCTTAATAGACATATTCACTGAGAATTCGACAAAGTAAATTCGAGAGTTCTTGGCAGTTTCTTAGAATAATAATTAATAGAGTGAAAGATTTAGGTCTGGAATATCTACCTCCTGAATTATAGGGAGTATGGTCAACAAGCAAGGGCCACGAAAAAGTGCGTTGCTTTGTAGATCTACAATACCCTAATTTTGGAAATTTATTCCTATAAATCGTAGGTAACCTACGCTCAAATGTATTTACAGCTTTTGCGATAGTTTCCTCGACATATGCGGAACTAAAGAAGGTGTTTGAACAATTATAGCCCTTATAGGTGTCTAAGTCAGGACCAGTTGAATCAACTTCAGCATTGCTTGACAGTTTAATACAGCGTTGAACCGCGTTCTCGTAGCGTATTATAAGACCAGCTAGATTGCAGTCTAAGTCGATGACGATTCGCATCTTTCCGGGAACCCCTTAAGCCAAAAAGTGTTAACTTTAACTCTCCAGTCATCTTCCAATGTAGCCAAATAGAATTTAGGAGTGCATACTTGTTCTGTAAGTGGTCTCCTCGTTCATAATAGGCCATACGATAAGTGCATCAGGAGCGCCATCAAATAGTCGATTGTCTTCTAATTTCGCAGGAAAGTTACTGATGGGGTCTGCGTTATGCAACCTTTCGCAAGCCAATTGACGATTAATCTCGACAGCTCTGTTACTAAAGGAAGTTCCAGCGCAGAGATAGTAGCTCGAGTCCGCGGTGTGATCTACAGTATTCGAGCCTACCGAAGATGCCGAGCCGAAATATAAGTGTAGGTATGCGACGATTAATATTTCAGTAAAGTGGAAAGATTGTGCTAGCATTATCGGGGAATATAGTTAAATGCAGTATTTATGGTTAGAATTCACCTCCACTCGACTGTGAAGTGAAGTTCTTGTAAGAACCTTATAGTGTGATGGTACATGATAGGCTATTCTTGGCTGGAAACTACAGGTTTTTCTTAGATTAATACTAAATTTTAATTAATGTTGAAACGAAGGATTCAGGTGCTCCCCAAATTTGCACTTTTATGTGTTGAAATTGGCTGTAATTAAATCTAATGGTAGTTTGGTATGCTGTCAGGGTTAATATCCCCAGATTACATAGCTGACCTGTGCAGTGTGATAGCTAATAGTTGTTCGGTAAGGCTTGACTAAGTTACTCGCAATGATCTGGTGCAGTAAGATTATGTAGACTAATCTAAGATTGTAGCACACCACCGTCGATTTAATCACGAAAACGCAGAACTGCTTTGCGAATGTGGCGAGGAGAATACTCCAAAATAACCCGTTGCCTGCAGGAATCTAACAAGCTCTCACAAACCTCGACCAAGACCCTCCCGTGGCCTGGATGGTGGCATTCAATGGAGCTCGAGCCTTCCGAATTGGTGCAAGAACGTAAATCCTTACAAATGTTTGGCCAAAAATAACGTAAGAATTTTGCTTTTTTTTACTTTTTATATCCACTTTCCGCTAAGTTTTGTTGATTAATTGTCCCTCAATATTTTTTTAAAAAATAGTTGAAATAGTTGCGAAATTATTATAGGCGCAAAAGTAATAGGCTTGGGGGTAGCAAGTAGCGACACGATACTATATTGTCGGTAGAGATTTAATTAACGTCATTGCGACATCTCTCGCATAGTCACAGAGTCACACAGGACAATAAAATGAAACAAAAAATTAGACGTCATTTCCCAATGGAGACGTCTGGCGGCAATAGGGCGTGCAGGCACGCCAAACGTTCTCTACAAGCCTTAGAGGCCGGGTCTATCCTGTGGGCCTTCTCGGCGTTAAATTTTACTAATAAAGATGTAGAATATTTTGACTCGTCATGAACATCAAAGGTTGGATGTTTTACATGTAGCGGGGTCAATTTCAACGGGATAAATTAATAATAAGTATATTAAAAGATGTGTCAGAATGTAGTTCAATTTCCTTTACACTAAGCGTAGTGCGGGGGGCAAGACTGAACACCTGTACGCGGTGTCCTCTACGGACCTGGAAGTGAAATTTTCTCCCAGAGCCAAGTTCAGTCAAATTTCGCAATATCAAAGAAGTTGGCCTACGAGGCAATGATTCAAATTACTACACCACGTCGTTTTTTCGCTCCCAACGAGTTTGACTCCAACCCAAGTCTCATCAAGTCTACAAGTACGACCAAGTACGTCCTCATCCCAATGACCACACCTCTCGTCGACCTTCCCTGGCCTCAGCTGGTCGCCAAATACACGCCCACGCCGATATTCACACCCGACGGAGGAAGCAAAGCGTGGCGCACAAATCTGGGAGACTGCTCTTTGGGATGGGCGTGGGAGGGATTAGGATAAGTTTACAAGATGATGCAAAGGATGGATATAACCTCGAAGGGCATGAAATTACGAATTTTAGCAAGGAGTTTTTACAAACTAAGCTTTGTGCGCGCCAAGACGTCGCTTGCGAGACTGCAGTTGACACTATAAACACAAGCCGACGATGGGAGGTGTTCTGATCTGCCTCCTGGTGGTGTTCTCTGGTATAGTTTGAGTAGCCTGGGCACCTACTCCACTTGGGAAGGAGACATCTCAGATTACATTTCGCGCGGAGAAAAGTTGATGGATGACGGAGGCATGTCGGGATAACCCAGGGTTTTTGAGACGTTCCCCTGGGTGGGTACTCACGGATGAGGGTTGACTCGGGGTGAAGATAAAGCCGCCATGACTTCGCAGTGGTACTTGCAAATGAAATCCGAGGCATGAGTGCTCTTCCTTTACGTTGAATCAGCTACTCTGTACCTTTCTTTGATATTGTGTCATAGCTAGATAGCTGCAAACGCAATTAAAATCTGATGCAAAAAAAAAAAGAAAGCGTGGTGCATCTCTCAGTTGCTGAGTCATTGTCTTGATGACTCAACAAACACCACGAACCACACTTTCGCAAATTTCTTAGACGGAAAGTAGATTTGAATGAATAACACATACCTCACTTTCGTACCTTTCGTTTTGCATTGAACTAAACTTACGTACACGTAAATTATGGCCATTCTACAAGATAACCAATAAAACTAATGAAATACCACACCAGTTACGGCGTCGCCTCTCTCATCACTGTCTACAAGAAAATGATTCAAAGTTATCATAATTAAGTAAACAAAATATAGCCAGTTTCTTTCAGGTATATTCTAGAAGTCCTCCGTAGTCATAGACTTAGATAGGACTATAATAAAACCTAATCTAATCTACGGCGTCGCCTCAACCTGGCCCTAGGTACGACAGCGTGAGCACATTTAGTCTCTGCCCGCCTCTAATCACTCTCCTCACAAAGCAATCTACTTCTTTCATCTCTACACAAGAGCTGGCTTCCTGCCACTTCCTCTTCTCGTGATTACACCCCATAGAAGCGTTTAATAATGAAATATAGACGATGAACATCTCCGAAGTCAAATGAGCCATCCAACAAGTATATACAGCACTGATTATGTGTTATTGCTGTTTAGTTGCATACACCAATGTTATATTAGAGAAAAGGGGGAAATGTGGCTGAATTATACAAGCAAGCACTGAGTTGGATGGCTATCCATCATGGGCATAGTATTAGAGGTTTCTCATCAAAAGAGAAAGACAGCATTGTACTAGATGTGGCGTTGGTCGTAGAGAAGCCCATCCTGTTAGATGTGTTAGAATGGAAGTTGGGTAGAGAAGCCTAAGCTGATAGATGTATTTTTAATATCATTGTCATAGCTAGATAGCTGAGTACAATTTGATTCAAAAGAAAAAGTTTCATATCACCTAGTGAAGTGAGTTTGGAGATTGAACAGTCTGAAACTATGGTGGAGAGTTGTTGAAGAAACCCTCTTAGTATCAGAGTGCTATTTAAACTATTTGTTACAACTAAGTAAAGGACACGATCTACTTGCATAAACTAGATAGTTGTATGGCTGGTCAATGTATGAGTGATCATGAACCTGGCTAGGAAGGCTTATACCATTTTAAGTTTCATGTTAATGAAACTTTTCATTGTCAAGTAGCTCAATAAAACTAAAGCACGCAACTTTTGCTTGTGTTAGTAGCCATTTTTCTCGCGGGCTTTGCCATTCTGCACACTCACCAGCCCGTGTGAAACGGTTCATCATCAGCTTAAGGGGAAGTTTAGACGAGAAGAAGGAATGTTGTAAATGCCAAATTGTGAAAAAGTTCAGGGAATGTTGCTAAGCGTCTGTCTAAATGTACACTCTTTTTTAGATTGTTCTGCTTCGGTTCTTTTGTGATGCTTGGCCCAGAAGCTATCTAACACGTTAAGCTTCTTTACCACCCACGCCACATCTAGTATAATGCTACCAATCTCTATCTACGAAAAACCTCTGGTCTAATGCCCATGATGGATAGCATTCCACATCAGTACTTGTGGAATTCAGCCAGCTCTTCTACAGAACCTTCAGAATAGCCAAATGACAGCAATTCTTTTCAGAGGATACAATATGCTTCGTAATGAGGGAAAATATCACAACAATTCAATAGCAATTACTTGGGCGGTGTGAGGCATGGTCTCAGGTGAGTATGTGCACAGTAGTTACCACTATTGATGAGGGAATCGAAGGATGTCCTGAAGGCGCCAACAGGACCTTTTGGTGTGGATACAACATAATAAATCAAAATAAATCGAGAAAAATGTTTTGAAAAGCAAGGATTATAGCATTTTGATTCATTCATTTTCTAATCTTAATTAACTACTTATATAAGTTTCAGTAAACCATCGACTTCAGAGCTACACCTGACCAGATAAACTTGTTGATAACAAATGATATCAGAAAAATTACTTCACATGCAATACCAGAATGATTACATCATGTATGACATCTCGCAAACGAACTTCCTATCCATTGATTGGATAAACTAGAGAGCCGCAGCTTGGTATTAGACTCTGTCAGGAATTGCATAAGAAATAAACAAGGCACGATGGCAAGAACCTTGATTTCCAACACAAATGTTGTTGGCTTTGGAAAAAAACCACACGAAGGAGTTTAGGGGTCCATCTGCAAGGCGGTTGTAGTGACAACACCTGGCTAAATTGATCGGTCTTCTTATGGCTCTGTCGTGGTATTATAAACATCAAAGGCAGGGCCTTGAGACTCGGTGACTGGTACTGATAAATTGCAGCCAGAATAACTGCCGTTGGAGTGAAGAAGATCCTAATTGCCTAACACGTTGATAAATATGAAATAACTAAATATAAAGACCAAATTCTCTCATCTAACGTGTTTCTCCTGAGCTAATTTCTTTCCGCCATAGAAGTGTTCCTTTTTTCTCGTATACTTGGGCCGTCACCATGTACCAAGGATGAAAATAAACCCTGAATAGTCATGTCAAAGTCTACTTGCCCAGTGCCAAAAATTCTTTGCAAAACATCTCGGAGGGAAAAGCTTATGCTAGATTTGGAGAATACTACCATACATATCATCTTACAGCGACTTCTACTGAAATTCTAAAGCTCCGACAATCGGCCACAGCGAATCAAACCCCCAATAGAAAGCTATTGTCTGAAGCAGCTACTAGGCCAGAAGGACCCAAGCCAAATACAACAGATTTCCATCTTTGCTGGAAAATCTAAGTAGGCTCAACGTAGTTTGGACATTCAAATGCTTACGGAGCATAGACGGCTCAGCTCGTTTTATAATAGAAGAAACCTACACGAATTCCACGAGGCCATCTTTACAATTGCCAATTAATTGAAAAATCCGAACACATGAAAATAGCTCGTTATTAATGGTCTGGATGTAGGGTAGACGTCTATGGGCCCAAGATCAATCTGAAGCCATGATACAATATCCTAGCGACATCATCACGTTCAGGTTTGGATCCTGGTGCATTAAATGAAAGACTAGCTTCAGAAAATTTATCAGCTTTTAAAGCAAACAGTCGACATGAGTAATGCCTGACTTTTATACGATGTGATTGATATACCATGACCGAAGTGGGACCTCAATACGTCCTCTAGATAACAGGCACATGACTCAAAATTTTTCAAGAAACACAGAAACAGATGTTAATGAAACATTCATTTTTCCCATCAAATCAAATCTTGCAGACCGATTATTTACATGTACTCGAATCACTTGATTGATTTGACAAGAGACATTGCACAGTAGATTAGAGGCATGTGTGAATTAGTGTTTAATTGGTATCGAAACGTGGATATGTCAGTTGAGCATTGTAAAAGTCGTTCAACTATAATCTAATGGTGAATTACATAACCAGTATCTAGAATAACTGGGTAGATTTAATGTTTCAATTGCTACTTGATTCTATGACTATCTAGCACAATAGGCCTTTCTCTGACCAAGGTCACACCATTTACTATACCTCTATCCTCTTTTGTTGCGAAAAATGAATGCTGATATCATGCCCAAGACCATTAGCTATTTAGCTCAGTAATTACCCGTATAGTATAGCTGAGTAGTACATTGTTAATTAAAGTCACCGAATCATGACCCCTTGCTCATTCGACAGGTTGTCTCCATGACTCATTGCCATAACTCTACAAACACGGGCTGAAGCGTGTACTGACATACCGCAACATGACTCTCGACAAAATAACTCGCGTGACTCCATATTCTATTTAATATAAAGTGATTTGTTTATAAAATATGATCTGATGGAAGATTTCATACATTCTTATCAGAACTCCTCTTGGCAGTTAAGCTGTACATGTAATCAAAATTGACTTTGACATTATTGAGCAGCTTATTTAACAAAACTTATTTGTTTTGAAATGACTTATAAGACCTTTGTAGGCGAGAAGTACGACTTCATGATAATTAGCAATTTTTTAAACTTTTAGTCGCTGTCGTGATAAAAAGTCGTTCAAATGTCGGGTGCTCGGATTCTGATTATCAGGAACCGTAACTATAGCTAACTCTCCGGATCCTAGCTAGGGAAAGATATCTCTACTAATTTGCTAGAAATTTGTCACTTCCAGACGCCGAATATGCTAATGGGGTTTCTAGGAAACTTTGAATAAAAAGGTGAGGGCGGCAAATTCTGTATCTTGATTGTTATTTGAATGTCATTATCGGAACAATCGAAGAGTTGCGCAAAACCTAACGAGACGAGTATTTTTAAAGACTGGTTTGAGGGATCGAAGTGCCTTCATTGGACATTGCTGTACTAAGCGAGTTCTTTCTCCATACTTTCCCAAATAATCTCCTCTATGTCTACTTCTGGTTCCTTTTCGTACACTGTAGGCTCATCTAGGCTGATGGAAACTAAGCCTTCTAATATTTTTTCTACCCTCTCACCACACTCTCTGACACCCTGGATCTCTGCCTTTTTCTTGGCCAGTTGTTCTCTCATAATCATGATTAGGCTTTCTCGCGCCTGATGTGGTCGATATTCATTTAAGAGATGATGGAAATTGATGGCAAGTGTGCGAATATCTTGGACTTTTTGAGTCCAGAGCGATGGGTTTGTAGCCAGTACGCCTAAAAGTTCGAGGAAGTTGAGCAATAGAGATTTTGCTAGGCGCTTCAGAATGAAGGCACGATCATGGTGTGCCTGTGAGTCTTGAGAAGGTGACTGAATGCGCGCTGGGGAAGTGGGAGGGGTGTAAACTTGTTCCACCCCCATAGCCTCAAGGGATGGCAAATCCTCTTTCACCTTTCCAAAAATCTAGGTTAGAAGAGAGCTTGACTTTGATGCAGGGTTGTACTTAAACCTACGTAGTATACATCACCAAAGCATCGAAACTTTCCGTCTTCGGCCGTAGGTAATTCTGGAGGTTGCAAATGTACTAGCTCTGCAGGCAAATCTGCCAGCAGAGTCGATGTATCCGAGGCAATATTTTTATCACTACCTAAAACTTTGGCACGATGCGCTGCAAATTTTTGAATATTAGTCGGCGTAAAACTTTGATAGAATGGTGGCGGTGCAGGGAAGACAGTAGCGAGGGGATTTGATTGCGACAATTCTTCCATTGCGAACTACAACCTTGAGAATGTTGAGAATAGCTGGCCTTGGGACTTGTCTTTATTTCATACAATATTTAGCTAGCAATACTTTGTGACTCGTCTCTCATTATGAGCATTCTAATAAATGGCTCCACCTATTTTTGACAGTCAGATTTCTTGTCGAGCTAAGGTGCCAAATGAAGCTACCTGGTACCGACGTATAAAGTTTCGTTGGTTATGTATTGTAGGGTTGGTACTTTGTAACGATGTCTAAACAGCCCGGCTCAACGTGTATGTCGATGTGCGCGGCTGATAGAAAACGGTTGACCATGCAGCGTGGGCGGGTTTGACTGTTACTCCTGCTGACAACGCTTCCGAGGTCGATGAGGCTATGGCATTCTCCACTACCCAAGAGAGCACTGGCGGATGGACTCGGGTATATATTGTGATAAACCACATCACAAATCTCATCTAAAAATGTACTATGGTCCTCATTTAAAATTAAAACCTAAAAAAATCAATTGATATTATCATCACATTACATTCAGATAACATTTGAAGACAACATCCCACATCGCATTACCGATTACCCTTATTTACAAGAATCCTCAATCGGTGCAATGGCCCCAGCTGTTGCATCGTCATCGACAACGCCCTCCAATCCAGGAGGGCAACTTCACCTAAGCCTGCTTGTCATTGCGAATACAATACAAAAAGCAGAACAACAACGGAAAGAAAGACTGGATACAGCCCAGGAATTTATAGAACTAATCGACTCCTGGGCTAAGAGCAAAGGAGAGAAACAAGCAGCAGCAGCTGTCGCGACTATGATGGAAAACATCACGCCTGTTATCACTGCCTTCGCAGTAGTTTAGGCAGAAGTATCTAACTTTCCAAGTAAGAAGCCCCCCACCATGGCAAGCACTCCAAAATCAGTCGCGCCTAGGAAAAATACAGCTTTTGAGGATCACAGCCACGCTTTACCCCCAAAGCCTCAAGACACTAGCTCGCCCTGGGTGACAGTAGCCCGCAAAGCGGCCAAGTTACCGACACCACCAAATGTGCAAATTCCGCGAAGGCCTACTCCATTAAGCCACCCGAAACCACAGACAACCCAAAAGGAGGACAAACGCTTGTTCATTCGATTGGAGAAAGATCACCACTGGCACAAGCTCTCGCCAGTTACGATCAAGAAAATCATAACTGACAAGGCTGGGATAGCAGCTTCAGCCATCAGCTCCATGTACACAGTCAGGTCGGGGATCGCACTCGAATGCGCATCAAATGCATTGAGAGATACAATCATGAGGATTGCACCTTCCCTATAGGAAGGCAACACTGTGATTGAGGAAGCGTCTAAATGGACATTATTGATAGTACCTCATGTGCCATTGTACATCAGGACGCTTGAAGGCAGCATCCCAGTCACCAACAATATGGTGAAGAACGAGTGCCAGGCTGTATGTGGCGCCACACCAATCCAGGTAAGGCCCACAGAAACAAAGCTTGGGCAATACTCAACGAGCTGGATTGTTCATTTCCAACAAAAACCAGCAAACACAAAGTTTCGTCTCTTTAACGAGAGCGGACCAGCAATTCCCTTCTCGCGCCGAAGATCAATCGAGCAATGCCAACGTTGCTGGGGATTCCACACAACGCGTTCCTGTACCCGGAGCCAACGATGTGGGAGATGTGGGAGAACCCATGAGACATCAGAGTGCCAGGTAAAGGTGTCAAAGTGCTCTAATTGCGCGGGACCTCACCACTCAAATGAGGACAGCTGTATGGCCCGGCCAAGACGACAAAACAGGATAATTCTGCCCCGTACCCCGGCAGAACTTCACATCATCAGAGAACGCGGACATCGTGATTATCACGCTGCTCTAGCGTACTCAGAAAGGAAGGGTAAGGCGGTTGAAACCGTCATTGCCCAGGACTCAACAATATCGTGTTAATGTTAGGAAATCACTCAAAAAAAGCACCAAAAAACAAGTACCATAGCGTCCACTTTCACCAAGTGAATGTCGGAAGGGGTGGGGAAGATATAGCATTGCAGCAGGCATGGGATGCCGGTGCACATATAGTCATGGTACAGTATCCATGGACAAGAAAGAAAGAGGGGGGCTTTATAACAAAAGGTCACCCTGGCTACAATAGCCATATACCATTCGGAGGAACAGACATCCGGTCCGCGAGACTACTTTCACGCGCAAATGTAGTCCTGCGACTCAACTATTTCCACCGCTGTCAGGCCCGACATCTGACTACTATTTTGAAAAGATGGGCAGCCTAATCTTTGTCAACGTATACCATGCCCCAGGGACTAATGGATTCTTGAAGCCCCTACTCCGGTGGGAAATTAGAGGTCTAGTGGTTGTTGGAGGTGATTTCAATTCTGTATCACAGCATTGGCAACCGCTAGCAAGAAATCAGTACGGCAATGGTAACCAGATTATGGAATGGGCAATAGTCCACGACATGTACCTAGTCAGCATAGTTGGAGAGCCAACGCACAGGGACTGGAACGTCTTAGATCTAACTTGGAGCAACACGCCCGCTATAGTATCAGTGTCCAACCGCTACCACTGTACTGTGTATCCAGATCGCACGATCCTAAGGGGGCGGCTCGTGCAATGATGAAGATCTGCGGTCGACCCCTACTTATGTAATCTCTTTAGTGTAATTGTATTCATAGGGAGTTTTAGGTTAGAAAGCAAAAAACAACTTACATCTGACTTAACGACTTACCAGGCATTCTGTGATACTTATTACAGGCGTGCTTTTAGTGCCTAGTCAACCGTAAGCCACATTGAAACCGTACGCACTATTAAAGTTCTAGGGGGTATCTGGAATGATAGAAGTGAACGTTGACCGTCAAGTCAATACTGTGCGAATCGTAAGATATTGGGGATTTAAGGATCAGAAATAAAAGGTTGGGATCAGTGAGGTTTTGGTTTTACTGAACTTATATTTCGGTAATTAAAAGTGTTAGTGTTTAATCTACATCTAATTGTCTATCTGTGTCCTACCTCGCTTAGGTAGAAACGTTGTGTTCTGATTACGTGATGGAATAACATTCACACCACCGAGATCATCACCAACCGAGACCTCACAAAAGCTGGTAGCGATCGAAGATGAGTAGTCTTCGTCTACTCCGCACAGCGTGCAGTTCGATCTGGCATGTCTAGATTTCAACACGCACAGTACCTCAGATCACTCGACTATCAAAGGTACCGTGCTTAACCCTACAGTGTCAGATCTCTCTGGAATTGTAAAGAACATTTGTGTCAGCGACGCCAACTTGAAGGGATTTAGCCGATGCGTTAGCCAATGGACCAAATCTGGCCCTCTTGACAGTGCCGTCAACATCGAAAACTTCACAAATGATCTCTTACAAGCACTTGGAGATACGCTCAAGATTGCAGGGAAAGTCCCAGCCATCGAAAGCGGAAGAACTGGGCCATGGTGGACCGATGAATATCGCACAGAATGGCAAGAGTACAAGGCAGCGAGAGACAACCCTGACCTCGCGAAAGAGGCCCGCAAGAGCTTTAGCGCCGTAGTGCGAAAAGCCAAGCGAGAGTACTGGAAGAGGCAAGTAGAGGTAGTGACTACTGCCGCACAGGTATTCAAGCTCATGAGATGGGCTAAGCCTCGACCAGCTGCTGAGCCCCCTCTGCAGACTGACGAAAACCGGTGGCTATCTGACCCGCGAGAGCGAGCTAGTGCGCTATGAGATATTCTCTTGGCTAGGTTTAGGGGCGAGAAAAACATCTCTATCTGGGAGAATGGACAGGAAGAGCGTATTTCATGGGATACGGAAATATCACCGGATGATGTGACAAGCGCCACTATCTCTGTCAACGTTACAGCGCCGGGAGCGGACAAGATAACGGTACGGTTACTGAAAGCCCGTTGGTTCCATTTAGGACTTCTCGTGAAAGATCTTTACCAGGCTTGTCTGAAAATCGGCTACTTTCACATGGCCTTCAGGGTGGAAGAAGTTGTGCTTCTTCCGAAGCCGGGTAGAAATCTGTCAACTGCCAAGGGTTGGCGACCAATCTCGCTGTTGTCGAGTTTAGGCAAAGGGCTTGAGCGTCTTGTTGGTAAGAAAATGGCATGGCTGACAATAAATCACGAAGTTATTCACCCACAACTATTCGGCTCCGTACCAGGACGATCTGCAGTCGACCTTGCATCCTGTGTAATCCATGATGCTGAGGTGGCCATGAGAAGTGGTAAGTGTGCAGCTATGGTCACACTCGGCATTCAAGGTGTATTTGATGCAGTCCTTCACAGCCGACTGCTCAAACGCATTCGAGAACAAGTCTGGCCACGATCCCTGTGCCGGTTTATTCAGACATTTCTTTGCCAAGGAAAGGTTCAGGTCAAATACTGCGGTGGAATCACAGAAGAGAAGATACTGGAATGTGGAGTACCTCAGGGCTCGCCACTATCGCCACTTCTTTTCATGCTCTACATCGCTGTGCTTTTTGAATATCATGGTCTAACGAGCAGGTTTTGTTATGCTGACGATGTAGCTATTGTCAGAATTGGAAACACCACGGTGGATGCTATCTCCGCAGTTCAAGACGACCTCGACAGCCTTATCCTTCTCGCAAGAGAACACGGGATCGATTTTGACCCAGCAAAGTCAGAAATTCTAGTGACCGGAGGAGGGCCTAGAAAGAAAATCAACGCGGCTGATCTTTTCATCTTGGTGAAAGATTGTTGGAAATGGAGACAAGGAGTGTTGTGGACGTATGGGCCCTCCATTTCGTCTAGTTTCCCGACACGATCTCGTGTGTATTTAAGAGGTTGGAATAGGTAATATGGTAGCGCTTCAGGCTACCTATTGGACATATGAGCGGCTGTATGGCGTGGGCGCAAGGAGGTTATTGGGGGTTTTCTATGCCTAGATGGCGCCACACTCGTTTATGATGTGGCTTAAGCTCTGTGTCGCTTACACTTGTACTTGTAGCGCACACTTCCCACACTTTTAGCCGTAATCCGAACATGACACTCTT